AAAAAAAAAAAAAAAGAAAAGATGGTTAGGACAGGATGAAAAATGCGTAGCAAAACCAAGTAAAACTGTTATTCAAAATCTTTATGATGTTATGGAATACAAATATACATCTATCTGACATGACTTTTAATTTACGCTTTTACTTTTAATTTACAAAAAGTTTTCATCCTCAAAGTGCTTAGAGCTATTCAAAATGTAAAAAAAGAATGAGTTTTCTCTCAAGTCTAAAACTGAGACCTAACCTTGCAAATTCACAGAAATTGTTTCCGACTTCGATTCATCCATAAAACGTTTCCTATATTTTAATGTAAAGCCAGATGGCAGTGAAAATTCCCCGACTTTCACCTTGCACAAAATCTTCGTCAAATCTGACAAATGAACTGTTTCGGTTATCCTTCTTGGACCAATCAATACTAAATATAAAGGTATAAATGAGATTTCACCATAACTGAATGTATTATAACCACAACCTGGATACCAAAACTACAATCAAAACTACAAGTAACATATGCTCTTACACTGAGCGTTAATAGTTGGAGGTCACAAATCTTCTAATTAATAGTTCCATAACTATCCCAAAGTTACTCTTAACTAGACCGTTTGTGATACCAGTTTCGCTCCATAAATGGATAAAGAAAAAAAAGACCCTTAACTTCACGTTCTAGAACCCGTCAAAATCAAACACACAAGCATTTATCTGAACTGCTACAACTAAACAGAACTACTACAGTCAATGAACCGTTTACCAGTATATTCATTAATCACTAAAAGTGATGGCTGTTGCTAGATTGTAAAAGGAAAAGAATAAAGAAATACTTGTTCCACTGAAATATTGAAATTTGCTGAAAGTCTGTCAAATCAATAGAGCCAGAAATGTTTTCTCGTCAGAACTCGATTATTAATAAAATTAAAACACGAACTTTTAGCAGTTTTCCGAACAGGTTCCGGGGAAAACTGACGTTTAGGAACAGTCAAACGAGTTCGTGAAATCGGACTGTAGGAGTAAACACGAGGATTTCTGCGTTTCACATCATCTGGTGGTGAAGGTTTGGTAAAAACACTGGAGTTGTCATCAATTTTGGGTGCAGGAGTTGTTAATGCCATTAAAAGTCTCGATTCCTGAAAAAAAAGAAAAAGAAAAGAAAAAACATGTAACTGAATACTGTCCTTCTCAGATAATCTTCAATAGTTATAAAAAGCTTCTATTCTTCCTTTCTTTTTCATATTTCTCTCTTCTATTCGCAAACAGATATTTAAAAAAAGAAAAAAATTTACCACTGAATTCTGAGGTCGCGTATTATCAGATCTATCTTTCGATGCAGAAGATGCATTGCCATCGCTAACTGAATCACTACCTTCTAGATTACCATCATCTGTTATGGATAGCGGTAATTCTGTCTTCTTAGAAACTCGACCTTTAGCATCGCTTCGTCTTCGCCGTTTTCTAGAATAAATGAATAAAATTTATAAATTCAAATGTACCAAATAAAACTGTAAACCAAACACAGTGATAAATAAGCTACATAAAAGACATGAGAACATGAACCTTACCCTTTTAACTTTCTATTTCCATGATTTAACTTTAACGACTGTAAAGAAGTATAAATTATCCCCGTAAAAATTTTAATATGCAATCTGGTACTACTCCATACTTCATTTCATCTTGTGAAATCGACCGTTTTCTCTTTCTTGAATTAAACTCTATCACAAACTGACTACCGCGCGCATCAGCAGAAGAACAAGCTGTAGAGCATTCGTCCCTTTGAAAATCTCTTCCCTGAATACAAATTTTTCAAAGCACTTCAAAAAATATGATGTGAATGTGTCATTTTTCCTCAAGAACGATCTTTAATTTGCTTACTGAGTTGAGAAATAAGATAAATAAATCTATTTACTGAGAGAAAAATAACCTTGACTTGTTCGTCATATCGTACTTGCTCGCTATCGATTGCCAACATTGCCTCCAATTCTGCCAGATCTAACGCTAAAGCACCCTCCACATCCATTTCATTCCTTTCGTTATTTCTATCGCCATCCCCACGACCACGCTAAATTACTCAAACTTTTTTCTAATTTTCCAAACAAAACTTACATTATTTGACGAGTTTTTCCGCTGAATCATCATTTAATGATATGCTTTGAGGTAATTTATTTATAGTAATATGAAAGTTCAAATTAGCGATCAAGAACGAACAGAAACAACTCTTTCAGTTATGTATGGGTCTACTCCTTACTTTGCATGAATCATCTCATTTATAACAATTCTAGTAGCATATTTTGCTGAAATGATAAATACATGTAGGGCCGTTAGGTGTTTAACTCACCGTAGATTTTGTGGACATTCTTCGAAGCGGGAGTTATCTGAAAGGATGCAAAGAGATAAGCAGTAATGAAATTGAATAAAATAAAGTTGCCAAACTAGTACAACACGATGACAGATCGGGAGAAAAGATCGCAGACTCCAAGCACAAAATAGGTCAAAGTCAAGGTCGCGACCTCACACCCGACCCCTCAAAATATCCGCTAGCTCACCGAGAGTAAGCGCACGCTGGC